ACTGCTCCAGCGCATTATCAGGTCGAGTACCAAATGAGTACCACTTTCTTCGGGCCTAAAATCATCATCTGTCCACAAAAAATGGCGCGCTCAACGTCAATTCGTTAATGAATAACTCGTTACTCTATCCGCTGACGTTCTGAAGAATGCGAAGCATGAGAAGACAAGAGCTATGAAATAATACTCAACTTTCTATTGCATTCTTGTGAAGTGCTCGTCGTCCATTAGGTTTCTTATGTCGAAATATGCCGAAAAAACAAATACTCTTACAGACAAAGACGAATATTCTCGGCTCAATCACTGCTTGGCGCAGCATAGCCACCGTCCCTACGCAACAAATGAAGAAGAAGTCCCAGCGAGCGACCGCTTCGGCTACTCCTGCAGCTCCTATAGCTGCTGATGTCGGATCAAATCATGTGATGAATCATTCACCAGACGTCGATTAGTCGATGACATCGAGGTAAGGTCTAATAGGTGTCGAAGCAGAGGCTTTAATTTCAAATTTGTTCTGAAATCAAATTAGCAATGAAATTTATTAGTTAAAATTAATCAATTGAATTTCATTCTAATCCTTTTGTTAGCCCCTTCTAGTGACCTATTCAGTCATCCGTACTTCGTTGACTAGCGCTTATCTAGTGTATGCATACCAAACACATTGGGCATAGCCGAATTGTACAAGTTGTAATCCATACGCCACTTGTCGATGGCATTCTATTTGTCATTGAACGCATTTAAAAGTGCACATTAAGCGTGCACATTAAGCTGTGTAAAGGTACATAAGTTGTATATGAGACATACTAGTAGAAGAAACGTCTGAGAATTGAATTGATAGTTTCACAAGAATGCTGGGTTGTGAACAAAACTACCAGTTACGCTACCGGGCATCATTGAAGTGGTAGCGCACTTGCCCGGAAAGCAAAAGGTGCGAGTTCGAGTCCCGTCTGGGGCGAAAGTTTTGTTCACAACCCAGCATTCTTGTGAAACATTCGCAAGGCGAACTGCGGCCAAAAACAGCAGTTAACAAAACAAAACAGTACTAAA